ATAAAATAGATCTCCATAGTTTAAAGTTTGGAGGTCTCGATTGTCACTTGTAGGTATGAAAAAAATAAAGATTCTTTTGTGATTTAGAACTATATAAGGAATATTCTTTATAGAATTAACTACAATGTTGACTAATAGAGCTAACTATTTTTTATTTAATACTTCTAAGAACTAGAAAGAATATAAGACCCAATATGTTTTAATATTAAGTAAAAATATAAGAATAAGATTATATTTAGATGTATAGTCCTACATAAGATCACTTATTTATGCAAAGTAACAAGGTTAATCTTAAAGATGGATGACACAAATGAATGTATTTGGTCATCTATGAGCTTTCTATGCCAACAAAAAGGCCCATAGGATTGAGATTTTGGCCAAAAGTCAAATTCTACCAATCCTTTTTCTATCAACCAAAAGAAAGCTAAAAAAGCTTCACGTACAGTATATAAGTTTACAATTAAACTTTGAAAAATAACAAATTGGTAAATCTATGCAAGACAACAACTTAGTTTGGTCTTCAAATAAAAAAGTTTGAAACTGAAGTATTGAATTAAACTTAAAACTTGTAAAGTAGTATATTCAACTAAATACCTTTCAGATCACATTAGAATGAAAATGCCAATATAAAAATAGATAGTGATTAGTCATACAAATAAACTTGCACAAAAAAACTATGAAGTTTTTTTTTTTTTTTTTGAAATAAATCTAAATTTTTTATCATTATGGCTAAAGCCTTCAAATTCTACTTGATATAACACACCTCTAGACATACATTACTACCCCACTTTAATTCAATTCATGTGCTTTAGAATTGTAACTTCATTGTTGGATTCTATTCCACTTTGAATGTGTATCAATTTACTTTTATGAAATCTTTCTATTGCAAGAGCTTCATAAAAATAATTTTACATATGATTTCGTGCACACACAATGTTGTATAGCAATGCACACATAATGTACTCACATGCACATAAGATGTTCCATTAATCTGCATGTATAGATGAACTTGAAAGAATTACACACATAGTCAAATAAAAGCTTTTATTTTCAATACTACCACTGACCTTGATAATGACATCAGTTTGAATAGAATATCAAGTCACATTTTTGGCATATTACATAGTTCTTACTACAAAAAAATTGAACCATATTGTATCAATATGAGGAAAGACACCACTAAAAAGTGAAAAGATGTGATGGATCCATACTTGAATTTAATCTTCTTACTTATGCACAATCCTCATTGTAGCTTGGATTCTTTCTTTGTTGCATTGTAACACATCATTTTACATCACAAATGCAAGCAAAATTTGCATCACCAAAAAAATAGAGCAATTGATTTAATACGACCAAAAAATAAAAAATATTTTTTGAAGCACTATTATTAAAAAATAAAATGGGAGAGAGCTATGGTGTTATTGCCACATCTCACCCTTGCAAAGTCTATTAATTTTTTATTTTTTGAAATAACAAGGCAATGTTTCCAATCTATACCTTCATGCAATTATCAAAAATTTTGGCATTTTGTTTCTATCTCATTAGTGAAATCCTTGATTTTTAGAATAATATGTTTAAAAATGGTGCAATAAATAGTACAATATAACAATCCTAAATCTTATGTTCTAAATCTAAAGCCATTTAAGTACGTCTATTATCTTTGCAATTAATCAATTTTATGCACATATTGAAGTATATTAGATTCACTTCAACAACTTTGAGATGAAAATTTTACAATGTAACTACCTTGTGTAAAAAAGTAATGTAGGCACTATATATTGGACCTGGTTGGATTAAATATCAACAACATTTATAAACCTTTGTGCAACCTCCACCAAAGTTTAATGCTTCAAAGCAAATTCTATCATACTAAATAATTAATAGACTTCTAATTGCAACATATTATCAATCACAATTTCATTTGATTTGCGGTTCTATTAAGTTCTATTCTAGTTCTATTAAGGCCATATGAACTCAACTCTTACTTTATTTTTGATTAAAACTTTTGATGAAAACAATGAGACATAGAGCAAATCAAAGAGGGTTTTTGTCTCCTCTGGTATATCTTGTGTATTTGTCTTTTTCTTCTTCCTTGAACTATTTTATATAAGAGATTATATAAGTCATTCAAGTATCACAAATGAAAATAACAAAATGAATACTTTTGATAAGTTTTAAAGTTTAAACTTATACATAGGTATAATAATTATATTATATATTTTAACTAAATTATATTAAATTAGTATATTATGTTTCTTGCTATAATTTTTCCAAGTTATAACTATTTTTTTCAAAAGGTATATATTATAGTAAAATAAAAATTCGGAAAAAAATCCCACTAAGTATCTTAGAATCAATTTCTACATTAAATAAAGAAAAAAAATATAATTAAAATTGGTTTCAATTTTTTTTCTTTAAAAATTAAAGAGAAAAATAAAAATAAAATCTTATAAAATATTATATTCGATATAAATTAAAAATAAGTAAAAAAATTCTATTATTAAATCAATGCTTTTAATTAATAATTTAGTATTCTTAGCAAAAAAAACTTTGTATATAAAATAGACACAATTTATTTCTTATCTTTCTTATTAATATAAATTTAATATAGTATGATGATAAATTTTTTATAATAGACATCTATTCACACTTGTTGGTATCAATAATTATGTTGCTAAAATCCAAAGTCTTTAGTCTTTTGCTTACAATAAGCTTAATTGGAAAAACATTATACACAAGATCAACAATGTGTATATAGTATAAACATAGTGAATCTCCCAATCTTATCTATCTCTATTTTTTTTTAATTTTTTAATTTTTTTTAATTTTTTAATTTTTCTATAAATCTAATTAATCACAAATAATTTAAGTTTTTTAATTTTTTTTTAGTTCATTTTGAATCCATTTTTCTTACATAAGTTCATAAATATGTAATATCTTTTCTTATCTTAAATTGATCTAATTTTCCTACAATTGAATGTTAATTTTTTAAAATTAATTTTTATTATTTTTTTTTACTTATTTTAGTAATATTATATAAAAAGATTAAAAACTTCAATCACTCTTATAATTCGTTTTATTTCGATAAAGAAAAATTTGATGGTAATTCATTTCTCTTCATAGTATTTTTTTTTTAAAATTTTTTTTGCCTTTTAATCTAAAAGAGATTTAAAGCTAAGATGTAAGTATTAAGATTTTGTTCTTGTACATAGTTTACTATTAAAAGAATTATTAGAATTATAAATTTTATTAGTTTTTAAGAATAAGATTTAAAAAATATATATATATATATATATATATATATCTTAAAATATAGTATATCCTTCACTAATATACTACTTGAGATTTTATATTGGATTTATTTAGAAAATCTTTAAAATGATTATAATATTTTTAGAAAATATAAAACTTCTTATTGTAATAACTCTTCTACAAATAAAAAATGGCTTCTACTATTAATACTTCTTCTTTTCAAACCAACACCTTTATAAGTTTTTTATTTTAGAGTTTTTTATTTTTATTTTTATTTTTTATTTTTTCCCCCAAATTGATAAGTAATATAAAAAAATAAAATACTTTTAGATTTTATATAAAAATATACTTTAATACTTAATATCCAAATTTTATTTTCATACATTAGCTTGAAAGACACATAAAAAGCATTTAGTGACTTTCTTTATCTGTCAAAATATCCTACATATTTTAATACCCTTATTTTTGCTCCAAAATACAACTTATTCAATTTACTACTCATTTATGATTCTCTAACTTCTGTTCTATTATTTAAGTACCTTATCCTTGATTTCCTTTGTGAACAATATAAAACCACTATTATTTATTGGAGGTTTTCCATTAGTCAACTAATAAACTTTATTATTAATCTATTAAAAATCTACACTTGTCTACTTTATCTACTGCCATCTTATTTTGTTCATTTAAAAATTTCTAGTTATTAATCTAATAACCAATTATTTACTAACCATACTAATTAAGCTGCTATATATTAACATCAAATTCTATTTTGACATTAGTCTAGTTAAATAACTAAAATAACATTAAACATATATAACACCAAGCACCAATGCAATGTCATTAAAAACAATCTCATGACTACATAATTATTTAGAAATTACAAATTGTCTTGATAACTATATAAATTTAATTCCTAGAAAAATAGAAGGAAACAAATTGGTCTCATGGATATTTTTAAATTCAAACTTTGGTCATCATTCATCTGCTTCTATTTTGGTCAAAACGGTTGTTATTGACTACTTGCAACATGTAAAAGTCTATGATACATTTTCATGCATACATCATGGCCCACAGAATTAAAATTTTGAGGTTGCCCTGTGTGTGTTGCACAGCCTGCGGTAGCTACAAGTTTATAGCTGCCCTGAGTAGTTTGGGGTAGATTTCTTTGAAGTTTGGATAAGAATAATTGTGGGCGTGACTATTTCTTTCTGCCAAGGGGTTCTATTAATCCTGGAATCAATTGCTGGGAAGTTAAGTTTTCATTGGGCAATTATTCAGTTTTCTCGTGGTTAGTCTTTGCAAATTTCAGCGGTCGCTGAAGCAATTTGCAACCTCAACATGAGTGTCCATTGAGCATTTCAATACACTGTGAAGAACCAGGTGGTACAAATTCCAAACCATTATTACAGTTTCTGCAGCGACGAGCTAAGGGTAGGATGGAGTGGACTTTCACACTTCAATATTGAAAGTTCAGCCTGGTCTACTTCTCTCCATCCGATCAGACATTGGAAAATCATTACAATGCTCGGTGATGTATCAATCCTTTCACTCAATTCATGTTATTTTGTTTCTTTTTAAATTTGTTCCATTTGTTTCCCAACGCTTCCTACACATCCATGATGGGAAGAACTCCAAGATACCCTAAACTCCAAAATGATTTCCTCAACATCAAGAACGCCTATTTTCCTGTAACCGAGAAACCAAAGTTGCAGTCCTGTTTCAAAAGAATAATTCCAAAACATGTTACAAAAGAATTAAACACGTTCAATTCCTATTTTATTATAACAAACGTTTACTGCAACATATAGGCGTCTCAGGGCATGTTTCGAAACACATGAAATCACAATTTTGATCGTTCCGTTGCAACCATGGTTACGCCGGAGGATAAACCCTTTTGCTATATCCTTTAACTAGGCCTGGCTGCTCAGATGGCACCAAGTGCCTGCACATGGAACAGGAGCATGGAAGACTACGATACTTGAGTTTTGTACAATGTACTATCGATCGAGTAGTGCTAGAACTAGCCAGACTGTGCAAGCCACCTGAAGCTGGACCAGTCTGATAACCAGTACGAATACTCAATTCTTGCACGGTGTTCTTAATATCTCGCAAGAAGGGCTTCAAATTTGGCAAGATGGCTTCCCCTTTCTGCTCAGCCGATTCCTCTTTGAATCTCTTCACCATATTGGTAACTGTTTTCAATGGGATTCCATAATTAATGCCGGAATTCCGGAATCCGCAGACTATGACTCCAACACACTCGCCTCTTGAGTTGAAGATCGGTCCGCCTGAGTTTCCGTGGTTTATATTTGCATCTAGTTGGATTGCATCTCTAACAAGGGATCCATCAACATTAATGGGTTGCTCCGGGAAACAAGAGACATGACCATAAGATACAGTCATCTCGCAAGAGAGTGGGAACCCAATTGCGAACACAAAGTTCCCGACATTCAAGGCCTGTGATATCAAGAAAATGAACCCCAGTCACTAACTAATCCTAATGGTCGACAACTTAATTGGCTTGATCTGTCACTTCGATTGCAAGACAAGGCAGCTCCAAAAGAATGAAACAAGGGAATCCAAGGAGAAAGGAGGAGCAGAACTAGACGTAGGGGCTTATCTCCGAGCATGTTACAACGGGGACCAGTTTGGAGCAACATCCCCGCAATTTGATCATGGCGAGATCCTGGCTTTTGTAACGTTTCACAACAACAGCCTCGTATTTGGTGCCATCCGGAAGCGTGACTTTCAAGTTATCACTGATTAAGACGTGATTGTTGGTGATAATATGCCCGTGAGTGTCCCATACACTCCCACTCCCACTCGAACTCATTTTCTCGGTGGAGGCCATGATGTGAACCACGGACTCTTTACACTTTCGCGTTATATCCTCCATATTATACTGTATGGCTGCGCAATGACAAGGGCCAACTAACTCTCATCACAACTTGATTCTTCCAGGTACTCTAACTGGCATATGAAATATCAGCATGTTGGATTATCTTGCTTCTTTATTCATTGACATAATCAAAATTTAAAATTTACGAATTTAAAAACAGAGCTTTGAACACCTCAAAATATGTGCGATATCCCCGCATCACCGAAGAGGTATTGCTTCTCAAGAGGATCTACACCAGATCAGAATTTAAGCGTGACTAGCTATACAAAATCGCAGATTGTCGGTAGATACCTGGAGCAGGCGATGTGACAATCGGCGACGCAGATACGTGCGGTCGTGCTGGTCTATGTCCAATAATAAGCTGTAGATCAACGAATTGGGAAACATATTGTCAGAAGAGTAACCTTGCGCAATTTTTGTTTGGTGAAACGACCTCAACGGACCGTGTCGGCAAGAATGAATCACTCCGAGCCCAGCGCCATTTCCACCCAATAATTGCAAGTTGTCGACATGCACAATCTCAACTGCGTTCAAGACACTTGCAACAGACAACGTCTCCGGAAGGTGCACGAAACTGGAATTTGAATCCAAGAATACCACGAACGATAACTACAACGAAGCAGAGTAGTTGCATGACAGTAATCAAACTAACCTGGTCTGTTGATGATACGGACCTTCTTTCCGCTGGACTTGTTCACATCAACAAACATCTGACCTTCATTGACGATTTCATAGGATGGTCTCTGAGAAGACATGGCAGAACCAACAACCAGTAGTTGATGACCACTACCAACACCACCACCACTACAAGCGTCGCCGGAGCAGCTACCCCTTCACCCTTGCCTAGTTCCCACTTCCCCTGAGGCAACTTGGTACGATTACTACCATCACTAGCAACACTAGAATGGTTGATGGAGAAACTGGCCCTGCACCCTGGCCACCATCCAACTTCCCCTGAGGCAGACCAGGACATGAACCAAATAGACCCAGAAGTGCTCTCCTCATGTTGCACGGTCCTTATTATCTAACGGGAGTGATGGTCGCTGCGAAAGGTTTCCCTATTGACTATCGTAGCGCCAAGATCTTTTCTCTGTGCAGACAAGTGCAGACAACAAGTGCAGGAAAAATGCTGAAGTTTGTTACGATTTTTTTTTTACGTTAAGTGAGAACTACATAAATAACCGACATAACTTTTAATCATTGCGGCAAAAGTTCCCTCAAATTAGGATTTCATTGCAGGATTCTACCTAAACCAGGGTTCTGCGCAGCCTGCTACCCATCCAATGCCTTAGAACACTATGTTGAGCAGAATTTTAATAAAGAGATATAAAATATAAAATCTTGCAACATTTGTAAGACTTAGCAACAATAGGGTAGGTTAAAATGGGTGTTGTGGGGGATATTATGTAAACCACTATGTGCAGGGTTCAATGCCTTATAGCAGTAGGGTCTAATGGGAGAAGGCATTACTTGTGTACATTGATGTTTAAATTTGGATTGATCACTGTCCTTTCCTTTCCTCCCTCTTCTTGGTCTCTCCTCCCTTGGGACTCCAAAGTGTGAGGCTCATTGACTTCTTGCATGCGGGGCACGGGTAAGTAGATCAAAATAAAATCAAAACAAATTAGCCTTGCCCAAATTAGATGAAACTAAAAAAATTACCAATTCTTAGTCCAGAGGACACTTCTGATGAGTTTCTTGTTTAGAGAATAACAGATTAACATTGCAACTATCGATATATTACATCAGCCATTCAGGAATTTTAGAGTAAAATAATATAACAAATGATTTTCGTTGGTTTTCAAGTTTTAGCTTGCACACAGATATGATAATTATATTATACATTTTTGGATGAACTGTTTTACTTCAGCATTTTTCACTTTGTGAACATAATTCTTCCAAGCTTAAGTAAAATTAGAGTTTCGAAAAAAAAATCCAACAAGCACCTCGGAGTCAATTCCCACTTTGCATGAAGATGAACCTTGACCACTGAAATGGATCTCAATTTCTCTCTTTCAATTGTAACGAGAAGAATAAAAAGTAAAAAAAGTGACTTAAAAAACGTTCTTGTATGCTTATGATTGAAAGATTACGTCATCTTGTAAGTCTGAAATTCACAACTGTGAAAGCTTCAGACCGTCACGAATTAGGGCAGACACAACAATATAGGCTCAATGATACGTGATATCATTCACCGACAGTTATGTTTGGCACTTCCCATACGTAGTAGTTACTAGGGAACAGGGCTGCCTAACGCGTTCAATCAAAGACTTGAATCTATACTTAGCAATTCTAAGCAAAATAGCTTGCACTTTTCATTCCATTTCTGCATATGAAACAGTGGCAAATTATCACTTAACTTGCAGATTAATGATTTTCTCATTTACCTAAAAGAGTAAATAACGTCCTCTGAAGAACCACAGCAAGTAATGAAGACAATGCAGTTGGAAAGTTCAAGGATACACTGCTTTATTAACAGTGCAAAGTACAAGGATTGCAGGATGAAGAGACTGAGCTTCAAGCAATGAATTTTTAACTCCATTCAAAGTCCGGCTTATCATAATACAAGCTGTACACACAATATGACGGCCTTGTGTGGGGGGGGGGGGGGGGGGGTCTCGACCACCCAAAAAATACTCCGTTGAATCTAAATCTTCAAATGATCACTGAATTATCTTACCCTCCAGCTGCTTTTTCCTTTCTGGTTCCTTACATTCATCGCATCACAAGCGGTGAGTAAGTTCAGATACGAAATACGACAGCTTGCCTGCAACACAATTTAATTCTTATCATTCCAGTAAAAGTCTGCATTATTTCGACGCTACAAATCACCCAACCTTGAAGTTTGAGGCAAATCACCGTGCGGTGATGGCTCAAATTGACATACATACCGGTCGATTTGCGGCAGCAATTTCAAAAGAACGTGTTACTCTCAGTTGTCCGAAAACTAGGAGATCTAAATATCGCCATTTTTCTGCAATGCAGAAAACAAAATGTAAGGTTACAGTCATAAACCTAAAACTTCTCACGTCATGAGGACTTAAACAGACACCGCCTGATATGTGGAGCAGGAAGTGAATTCATCCACTTCAGGGTTGGATGCTCGCTCGCCAATAGGGTCAGCACTGGAAGAAACGCTTCAATACTACAGTGCTGAGGTAGGAGAGAGGAAGTCATGCAAAAATGCTCACCATTATTGGAGCCAGCAGACGCCACCTGAAAGCATTATGCGAACTCCAAGTTCCAAGGAAACACGATTAGAATCATGTTAGGAACACTCGTAAGAAGAATTAAAAGGAGTCTAAACCTCAATCATTTCCAAGAAATTGAATCCATCGTGCTTCATTAATAATTCCAAGTATCGTTCAGAAGTGTTCTTCGAAGAAATGCAAAGATTAAATGATAACAGCTCCAAGGAATCCATTCTACATTTGGTTTCTGATTATTATGCAGAATTATCTATCATTATAGTGTTGATTAACACAGTTTACTAGATAGAACAAGAGCAGGTGAGAAAAAGACCAGTATTTGGAGCACAGCAGAGGTGCCGGTCGTCAATATGCACTGTATCCAAGCTCAGCATCCAAGCTCCAACCGCAACGTCCTCATTCTTGTACTCTTTTAGATAGGCACTGCATAAAAGGAATCACATGTTTAACGAGATCAAACCCACACAACCCTAAGTAGAATGACCAGCAGAATGGGTACAACAACGAAACCGATACCAATAAATAAATAATTGCAAATACTGGTACTCACCTGTTAATTGAGATATACTGAGCCAATGATCTCGAAAGACCATAAACTTGCCCAGCAGCATGCCGATGGTACCTGACCCACAAGCCAACGCAAGTCCAGGTTAGGCCAAGTATGGCATCTAAGATATCATAAACATAGTGATGCTACCAACACAAGCGACATGAAGGTCTCTGACATCACAGTGGAGTTCAAGCATTAGAAGATTTAATTCAAGCGTCCATGCTTACTCTGACTTTTCGTCTCCAAACTTCCACCAGTCAGGCTCATACCACTGTGCGTTTCTGCATCACAGCAATGAAAACGATGTGTTATGTGAACAGGAAAACTTCAAAACGATTGATACAAGCAATCATAGAAATGTTGCTAGAATAGTAGGCTGAAGTGAGAAAGTTTAAATAAGTAAGCAATATAATCAACGATTAGCACCCATGAAACTTCAAATAGAAAACTCTACAAAACTTACGGATCATTTACAACCGTCCCGGATTTCATGCAACCCACATAAACTCTGGGCTTGTCTAGGTGACTGGATAGCATGCTTCCCACCATGTCTGCTCGATGTCACGTGTATACAACATCACAATCATATGAGACCGTTTAAGTTATGGGAATCATATGAATATAAAACAAGGAATTGTAGCTTCAACAAAATGCACATCGTCGTAATCATCTGGCACAGACGATCGTCAAACCATCAAATAGTTGGAAGATAGACTTCGTTCCACTTCTTTACAAGTCCTCAAAGGGACTTGATAATATAAGAACTTTGGATTAACAGAAGTTTCCAGTACACGTGCAATGACTGTGAAAATGCAGCAATACAGATAGAAATGATTTTCTCACCTATACTCAGACCGACATTGTCATCCATCTTCACATAGAAATCTGCGTTCCACGTATTGACCACTTTGCTAAAAAACGTTTTAGATTTCAGCGTCAAGTTATCATCACTCTCGACGTAATTTTCCTGTAGAGATATGTATCACCGTAAGAAGGAATTGATGACGCATTCAATCTAGCAGCATTCATAAACCCTAAACATGGGGATAACTAAACTTAACAGCAATAGCAAGGTCACGAATTTTGTTATATATTCCTGAATTCTACAGAAGTTAGCTGGGAAATAGGAGAGAAGAGCAATGCGTGCCAAAAACGGACAACACAAATAGATGAAAAAGCTGAGTTCGGAAGGAAACTATTTGGCAATATACCAAGATAAGGAAATCGTCCGTTTCTTTATTTTCTTGATCAATCTGTCGGTCCAATATATCTCCTCTGTTTGAGCTGCATCAATCCAAGATTAAGTCTTTATTATGATAATAATGATGATAATAATAATAATAATAATAAGAAGAAGAAGAAGAAGAAGAAGAAGAAGAATGTGAAAAGCAGAAGCAGAAGATTAAAGAGAGCACTGAGGGATGTTTAGAAAAGTTGAAATAAATAAATAATAATTGATGCTTTAAAAACTGTCAAACGGCGAAATAGCAGAAACAAACCTGCGTCCAATAACATAGCGAATGATGATACCTTTATTGCTCTCAAGCTCCTTCAATGCAGGACCTGACATCAAAAGGAATTGCAAATGGGAGGCGGCATGGTATGTTACATACTACTGAAGGATGTGTTTAATAAAAGAAACGGTGGAGTAGAACTCTATTTATTCAACTACTTCTCATAGTTACTCCCACACCCTATTCATAGTATGTATTAAAACTACTTTACCTCTTGAGACATAAGAAAGATCTCAAATCATAGAATCTTATACAAGAGAAAATGAACCATCAAGTACCATTAGGTATCCAACTCTTCCGTGAGGATGCGCGGCGAGACTGCCCACTAAAACTAGTGAAGATTCCGATGACTACAAGTTTGTGATCTTGAAAAAGAGTTTTATTGATGGGCTTGTACCCTTGGCTCTTTGCTGCAGCTAACTCTAGTTCTGTATCTGCTAGCTTCTTCTGCTGTTCTCTGCAAAATAAAGTCTTCGATTAGTCCACAAGCATGAAATCATGATCTCCAAAACCTAAGTGCTCATTCTCAGCCCAATTCTGGAATGAGAATTCGTCACATTACAATGTAACAAATTAGATAAAATTGATGTTTGAAATATCTGTTGCTGATTTCTAGATATGGAAGGCATGAGGCAAATTCATAAAATTCGCATTAAGGTCAAAATCCTCACTTGCATTGTATCAATCTCAGAGATTCATCCACTGAGATTGGATCTCTTGCCTGCAATGAGAAAATAGATACCCAAGTATAAATCACTGCACAAAAATAACGCCAACATAGTTTCTTGTAGAGTCGAATTCTCAACTCCATGGTTAAGCAAAGAACAATCGAAGATCCTGCAAAAAATCGAATATAAATTCGGGGATTCGAACGATAACCTGGCGACTGATGCGTGGATCAATTGCGATCAGCTGGGACCGTATTTCAGCATCCTGCCACAACCTATAGTTCAACATTGCAAAGGAGTCAAAGGCTGCAGTACTCCGGAAGTGGCTGAGGCTAATCAAATACGAACACAAGATGGATACTCGTAGCCACTTCACTTCTATAGGACTAATGTTCAATTATTCTTCGGGAAAAAAAAATGTGGTTATATGCTCGTTGCAACAAATAAGATAGAACAGGGCTAGATAACACGGCGTTTAAACTACACACGAAACGAGAATATGATTCCTAACCCTCGGCATGGTCTTCACTCAATACAAAATTTTAAACACGATCTAGGTGGAGAATTGAAAGATAAAATTTATGACTAATATAGAAAAATATTATTTAAAGAAGAAAAGAAAGGCGACAACGAAAACTACAACCCTAAATCTTTAGATGATTTGTAACACAGAACAGAGGAAAAAACCGATCCTGTGCTTTCGACAGACTAGTAATGCTATCAGTCAACACTCTACCCTACACTCACAACACTTTGTACTACAGTGATTTTAAAATCCCCATCCCCCCCCCCCCCCCCCAAAGCAATCGTTACTAAAGGAGAAGGAGATCGATTCGGACAAGGAGCGTATATTTTGCAGCGAGCAAGAACGACCCGTTTACGTAATGCCGCACATCTCCTTGCAAACCCCGGAGCATAGGGCTCAAGACTCGCGTACCTGCCGGCAATGTAGGAACAGGCAAAGAGGGAAACCATGAGCATGACGATGCTGGTCATGCTGTCGTTCTTCACGCTGCTCTTGGGCAGCATAGCAGCACGGCCGGACCTCATCGGCTCTCCCTGGATCTACAGTGCGAGACTCGTCAGATAGTTTCCAAGTTTCACTAAGAGCACGAAGGTTTCTTCTCGAATGATAGTGCTTTCCTAAACAAGTGAGACACACAACTAGCACCACGGATGCGGAAGAGGACAAGAGGAGCCATCCAGGATCTGGACGCAGGTGTTGCGGGAGGCTGGGCCCGCCATCTCCATAGCTATCGCCCATTTCAACTCTCGCAGCGTATTTTGAAAAAATACTGTAGCCACCCTAGAGAGTCTCACGTCCCGTCTCTGCCAAGTCTCTAAATGAGAGACCATTACCATTTCATCATCTCGATCATTGCCCCTATCTCAAACTGCGGAATGAAGCTCACACAATTCCAGTCACGCACCTTCACAGGAGCCATCGTCTCATCCTACAGTGTCTCTTTTTCGTGAATAACTTTTTAGGGTTCTCTGCAGATTCTAAAAATCATTCACTATCGTCGTCGAGTACTCCTGTGACACCTCCTGTCTCCAATTTCTTTTTGTAATCCCTTCGATGATTGCCCAATTCTAACATTCTATCAGCAATTCAGAGGTACATATCTCTCTCTCTCTCTCTCTCTCTCTCTCTCTATATATATATATATATGTGTGTGTGTGTGTGCGCAAATTGGCATCGCCAACGAATCGTATATCAATCCGAATCAGCTCACAAGGTTTGCAATGTGACGATTTCAAGAGAGGAGTGAACAGGTAGCAGAGCAGAGTCCCAGAGTTTTAATTCCATTTCGTGTTCCAAATTCATATAGACACTAAAAACTGCAGTCCAATTGAGTGGATGAATAATAGCCGCTCATGAAAATAGTTGCACCGTTACTAAGGAGGAAACGTATGTCAAATTTTCACATCTTCATACGTTTTGTGATAATGTCAGTAGTAAATAATTTTCATAAGAAGAATCTATCCGAGCGGGTTCTTCAGTGACGTTCTAAGAGGAGCCTGTACAAAAACAATCCTGCTGCTACACTCTATGGCCTGCGTACAAAGGCATAAATTGACGTCAGTGTCCAATGCTAGAACATGAATCAGTGTAATTTCAAAAAAAAAAAAAAAAAAAAAAAAAAAAAAAAAATTGGCTATGAAGGACTAAGATGGCTCAGGAGATGTCTTACCAGCTGTGAGCACCAGATGTGGAAATTGATTCAACTCGATGCGTCAGCCTCCTCTCCTTTAAATAGTTGTGGTGTTGTGTCACAACCAATTTGGGTGATCCAGAGGAACGCGAACAAGATCTGTATCAAAAAGCTCAATGAACTGCAATCATTCCACAAGAATCAATCAATCAGTTGCGAGACATGAGTTGGGTTTATCCTCATGAACAAGAATGTACCGAATGTGCAGCGAAAGAACAGACGATATTCAAATGGAGTAAGATCTTTGTTTATATGTTGGCAGCCTACTAAGATGGACAATGTCAAATCCAGTGCATCTGCGCTATTATTGTTTAGCACACCATTTAAGGTTGAAGTGCGTAGACCTGACTAGATCTCCAAAGAAGAATATAATACTTGTTTCTGGATTCACCTGTTCGTTGAGGAATTGAACCTTGCTGCCAGCATACCGTCGGTACTCCTCGAAAATGGCCGTCAAGTTCCACCCCTGCAGCTTTCTCAAACACCCTATCACAATGCCTGCAAGAGAATTGGCAACATCGGAATTACTTGGAAGGTTATGAGTTTAAAAAACCATAGACGCAAATACTTTTGTATTCACTGAACATTCATTTGTGCTCAACCTCAAAAGGCATCTGATGCAAATTGTTTTTATGTGCAAACGATCTGAAAAATACCTGTGCGCTGGTGACCAAAGTTGCACATTACATGAAGAGGATAATATTGCGAAGACAGAATCACCTGAGCACACAAGAAACACGATAGAGTTTTTTCCAGTATCAATAATTCAAATCCCAGCACAGTCAGAAAGATTCATAATCTCATTGCACATTGACCGCAAAGGAGAAGAAAGGAAACTACGATCAAAAGCATTGTCACAACACGAGTATGATTGGCTGCAGAGATGCTGACCTGCAAGGCAGACAGAACTTCCGCCTCAGACATTGAGGAGTTTGCTTGACGCTGGATATCGGCAAGCTCTGCCGGGGGCCGAATCAAGTCAATCCCTTGATCCTCCAAAAAATTTAAACTGCAGCCAAGTCCAGGAATCAGGTTTGCAAACAATGAAATGAGTTCACAATATCGCCCTCAAAACAAACCAAAATAGCTAAGTAAACAAAAAAGATAAGAATCTGGAGACCTAGCAGACGAGAAAATTGCGATGTCAGTAGAATTTAAACGTCCAACAACCACTACAAGAGCGAGTTCAGGCGAATTTGACACAGCGTTTATGAAATTTAATTTGCAAACATCCTAGTTACGACAAACACTCACTGAAGCGTAAGGAATAGTCCTTTGAACCGCTACCTGGAGTTCAAACAATTACAGAGAGCAAGTATTTGCTTACAATGGTTGAGATGGCTCGTCGTGGGATAGATAGATGACGGTCTTGAGATTATGGCGCTCAAGGAACGGGAAATTGAGCTGGTGACACTGGCCAGATCGGCTCAAATCGTATTCTGCCATCCCATAATTGCACGGCGGCACAAAGTACGACATGTTTGTCTTGCGCACCTGCATGATTTCAAGTTTGAGAGACGGCCAATGGGAGTAAATCTCTCGCATGACACATGCAGATCAAATGCAGCATTTGTTCTTTACTTTTTTAAATTCTCATGTGTTTCAATTGCCTCACAGAAAGAAAGTTTGCACGTGACTGTCCAACCCATCAAACCAGGACGAGACTTGCTTAAACTCATGTTAACAAAGTAGCTGCTTCAGAGAAAATGCGACAATGCATAGAACTGATGCCGACAAAACAAAAAATGCACACAAAATCAACAGAATCGCACTTCGCAACAAAAGAAAACACCTCAGTTCATAGCAACAGAACCTCCAGCAAGCAAGGCTATGGATAGAAAACCCCAAAGTCAAAAAAAATTCTCAATAACATCCCGAAATACCACCGAAACGGTGGTGTCTCTAGAAGCACAACAATCCGCGAAATTTTCTAAAAAAAACAATATTACTCCAAGAACAGACCTCGAAGCTTTCCTCGACTCAATCAACTTGACAGCACATCCAGGAGCGCGATCTCGACTTCCACGCAAAAACCCAGTTCCATATAAATGCTGCCAACAAAATGAGCGAACTAATACAACTAAGACAAGATTCGTACCTAAGATCCAGATTCAGACGCTTATGCTTTGCACATTCGAATTCCGAGACCTCGGAGATTCTAGGCTACGTAAAGCAACCATGAAAGAGGGAGCACGCTCATGGCAGATCAACCAACTCGCCATTCCTCTTTAGCAAGGTGGATTACCACTGCGAGCAACCGAGTGCTTTGGATGAACAGAGGGCACGCAAAGAATGGCTGCGCCAATGAACAGCCACACACCTATGGTTTCCGCGTGGGTTGTTCGTCCGAAGAGTTTTGGATGAAGCAGGCCATTGTGGATACTGCAAGCTCGCCACCATCCGCAGACGAAGGTGTAGAAAAGCCATTAGAAAACTTCGTAAAAAAATTCATTCCTAGGTAGGTCTCGGCAACCAATTTGTGGGATGGCATGGTAGTGAGTGTCTGAATGTGAGGCCCGAGGTGGCAAGAAAGAAAGAGTCCCGGAATGAGGAAGTCGGAGAGGAGGACCAGTTGCCATGCAATTGCTGAGATGGTGCTGGTGAAGGAGATATTGACGAGGATGATGCTCAGGAGGTATAAACTTTGGCGGAGCCAAATTTACGGGAGTGTTGCATTTTTCCTGGAGTGGAATGTCGAAAAAGTAGCTTGTTCTTGTATATATTTGAGCGCTGGCTCATGCCCATGCACGCGCCCGTCAATGCTCATGCCTCCTGTTATTACCCAACTGCAGGCGAATTCATCTCACGGAGAGGCATCTCTAAATCAAGCCTACTACACCCTGCCGGTTGTGACAAACTTCGGCGATTAATTGTCGCTCTAGAGAACGCAATTTGGTGGCCAGACAGCTCTGGCTCAAATGCTCTTGGCATCCTGCCGTGAGTCCTGCTGCTTCTCGCTTGGTAAACCTACATGTAGTCTACAGTGTTATTCGACAAGATTAAGGTGGAGAAGTAAATTTTTAAGCTGGCAAGGTAGTTTTGAGTTATAGCTTACAACTTACTAAGGCATTAGTAACCTGATTCAACTATATTTTACATAAGCTAATGGTTTAATGCAAGCTTTTGGCTATTTAGGTTCATATGTGCTTCTATCATCTATTTTGTGACATATAATGTGTCACTTGCTGACTTCTACACAGTGTAGGCTTTGCTCAAGGTGGTTTCGTTATATTTGACATCCCTTAAGTGGTGATCTAGCATTGCATGGATACATCCTACTCTGAAGGTGAGGTTGCTATTGGCAATTTTGGAACTACTAGGTTTTGCAACTACTGGGTTTTGTTGTGGCATGCTCTTTTTATTTTTATTAAACTAAATAAAGAAAAGTGAAAATAGAATAAGTTATTTTGTAGAAGATATTATCTTAAATAAGTTGCTAATAGTCAAAAGGTTGTCTCTTGGTATATGAAAAGGCCAAGAAACAAAGTCAAGAGGATAAAGGATCAACTAAAAAATATTCAAAAATTAAATAAGATTATAAAATATATACCATAGGATATTATTGATATAAATGAATAGACAAAGGATCTTAGGAATATATAAGATATGCTAAAATCATATCTTTATCATAGGTAAGATATCAATGGATAGTCACAATATAATTTTGGATGGATGTATTCATTAAAGATAGAAGTTATTTATTAGGCCAGCAACTACCACCTATATGTAATAAATATTGGAAGTAAGAGTTATCTTACTTTATACTCTCTTTGTGTGCAATCTTGTTGATGCTATATATTGTGACTTCAATGTTGTTTTTCTTCAATAGATTATGGATCTATTCACCTTTATTTATGAGTTTTGAAGTTCTTTAAAAACTTTCTTATTATGAGTAATAGATCTCATAGTTGTTGCTAATATTAGTATTTGGAATCTCCTAACTCTATTTTTTGCATCTAATTGTTGATGTAGTATTACTCTTACTTGTTGTCAAGTGCATACATGGGCTTGGAATTTATTTTTTTACCTTAGAATGATATTTTAAAACACTAGAGTTATGTTTTTTTTTTATTGAGCTATAATATTGATGCACTAATATTGTGCTTTTATATGATAAAGAAGCTTAGAGAACTTAATAGATCTTTTATAGTGATTAGAGATGTTTTGTAAGATTAGAAGTGATTGAAGAGTGGTAAAGCTTATAAAAGAGATTTATATAGTATATAAGACTTGTGAAAAGTCTTATAAATGAAGTTGAAAGTAATTAAAGAATAAAATTACTAATTTAATCATAAAGAGGCTATTTTGGATTTCTGAGGCAACAACACCTTCTTGTTGATTTTAAAACCTCTATAATTTTTGTTTATTTGTTTATCTATTTGTTTTTTTTTTCTTGATTTTTTTTAATACACTTCTTTTTTAGACATGAATTCAAGTGACGATGAAGACTTGAAAGTGATTGAAAAGTTAAAAGATGATAACTTCTACCATTAGAAGAAGAAAATTAAACTTTTTTTTAGTATCATTGGATTTTTTAGATATTATTGATGAAAGTGAAGAGCTTCCAAGCAAAAATGTTAATATAAAAGAGAAAAAAGAATAAAAATGTTGTGAAAAGAAGGCTTTTTGACTGATTGCAACCAATCTTGATGATGTAAACTTTTTATACATAATTACTTGCAATAGACCAACTAAAGCATAAAAGACTCTTTGCAACATCTATAAGAATAGAAACCTTGTCAATATTCTATAGACAAAGAAGAAGTTCTTAATAGTAAAGATAGAAGAAGATGATGAGCTTATGGTTCATGTCAACAAAGAAAAAACTCTTGCAAACTAACTAGCAAATGTTGACAAGTCTGTTGAAGATTATGATATTTTAATGTAATTATTCTTGAGTCTTCCAAAGTTGTATAACTACCTTATTGTAGCATTGGAATCCATCAAAATCAAGGAGTTTACATTAAATTTGGATATATTTTTAAAATAAGATAAAGGTAATTATTCTAATCAATCTAATAATATTAAAAGAAATATAAGTAATTACTATATTTATAAAAAATTAGGTCCATTTATATAAAATTTTTACAAAGCTAAGAAAAAAAAAAAAGATAATGCAAACAATATTCATGATAATTTTTGTAGAGATGATTATACTTGTATGGTAAGTAAAGGAGCTTCAATGGTTGACATGTCTAAGTAGGTTATAAATTTGGATGCTACGAAGTACATGATACTATATAAAAGTTCATTTGATACTTATGAAATAATTCTAGCAACAAAATTTTGGTTGAGAAACAATGGCATGGTAGAAGCCATTTGAATAAGCTCCATTGTGATGAAAATTCTTATGAAGGATCAAATCAAGAAAATCAGATTGAAAGAAGTCTTACATGTGCAAAAAAAAAAAAAAAAAAAAAAAAAAAAAATCTTTATGTGAATTAACTTATATCACATAGTTATAAGGTTCAATTTGATATGAATGGGTGTTTTGTAAAGACATTGGATAAACAAGATGTTACCAAAGGCTTTAGAGTTAGAAATCTTTATTTCATCAATTGTAAGAAGGTTAATAGAGTTGAAGAGGCAACATTTGTTAAGTTTCCAAAAGATCAATAGTATAAACAATGAAGTTGAGTAAATGTCAAATCATTTTAATGAATTCTTAAAGATTCAAGGCATTACAAGACAAACTTCCATTGTTTATACTCCACTTCTTATACTCTACAACAAAATGGAGTTGCTAAAAGAGAAAATCACACCATTATAGACATAGCAAGGTATATACTTTATATTTAAAATCTTAGGTATGAATATTAGATGAAAGCTATCATAAATATAATATATACAAAGAATAGGTACTCCATAAGTGCATTCACATCAATGACTCTACAAAAAGCTTGGAGTGGCAAGGAACCTTATGTTTTACAAATGAAGATTTTCAGATGCATTATTTATGTAAAGATATTAAATTATATGAGGTCCAAATTTGATGCAAAAAGTATAAAATTTATATTTGTTGGATATTGTGAAGATTCTAAGACATATAGATTAATGTATTTAAAACCCAAGAAGACCATCAAAAGTTGTAATGTTGAGTTTTTGGAGCATAAAAATACTTGTGAGCACTTGGCAATATGTTCAAGTAAAAGTAATGATATATTTGTAGATACATCTTCAATTTCAGCAAAGAAAGAAGAAGAAGAAGATGACAATAAAAATAGTGGAAATGCAAATCAAGCTGAATAGCCAAAGAAGATAGACTAAAATATATTTTAAAATTTAAAAATTAGAAATGAAGACAATCAAGCTATTGAAGATGATAATGATGAAAAGTACCATCTTTTGAATGTGAAGAGACAAGTTTTAAGAATAAAGTAGGTTGCAAGTCTTTAGAGTACATAAAGGTGAATCTTCATTAAGTGAAAGGAGATATCTTTTGAGAGAAAAAAGACTATTTCGTGAATAATTGAAGAATCACATATTTTTTGAAATAAGTGAAGAAAATACCAATATTATATTTTTTGCTAATCAATTGAATTTTTGTGATATAATGAAGTTAATAAATTCTATGAAGTGAGAGAATGTTATGGAAGAAAAATAAAAATCATTCATCGATAATAAAACATAGGAATTGATTCAACTTCTACCAAATTTATCTTCAATTAGTTATAAGTGGGTGTTTAGAACCAAGAAGGATGCAATGGACGATGTATTAAGCATAAGAACTCAAACAAGGTATGCAAATAAGTAAAAAAATGAATAAAAGAGAGATAAAAAAATTAAAATAAGAAAGTAAATATATTTAATAAGAAATTGGAATGAGTATTTCCAAATGCTAGAAAATTAGAGACTCTTGAAACTAGACTAGTAGCAAAAAAGAAGTTGATAAAAGTGAAGAAGGCTTCATTCTTACCTCTATATATACTATCTATTTAAGAACTATGTGAAGAAGGCTTTTTTACAAGATATTGTTAAATTATATTATTATTATTATTATTATTTATTTTTATTTATTCATATTATCTAGATAACTATAAGTAAAGCCTTTTTTATTCTTTTCAATGTTTTCTTAGTCTTTAGTCTTATTTCAAGACTTTTTAGTCTTCTTGTTTTTAACAATAGCCATTCTAATTTAATATTATATCATCTTTGAATGATTATTTAATCTTTTTGAATTTCATAAGAATATATTGATTTTTTAGTTCTTTGAAATTCATGTCTTTGATAAATGAAAATCAAAAAAAATTCATTTAATTACATTATATATATGGAGTGATCAACTTCATTTCCTATAAATCTTTCATTCACAAAAAATATGTCAATAGATTAATACTATGTACTTGATAATTTTTTGAGTCTAAAAAAAGATTTTTTAAACTTACAAATAAGATGTTGTTTGCTTTCTTCAATAAATCCTTGATGTATATCTATGTAGATGTCTTTTTTCACCTTTCTATTCAAAATAGATGTCTTCACATCTATTTGTTATATTTTCAAGTCCATTGTTGTCCCAATTATTATAAGTATTTTAATCATGGTAAATTGCCTCCATATATACTATCTAATTAGAAGCTATATAGTGATGTCCTATAAGATCTTCAATATATGCCCAACTTGTAAGACATATGTCTTAATTTGCAAGGCAAGTTTTCTATGTGTGCACCACATAATTAGCTTATATAACAAGCTACCAATACGTATAATATGTGACTAACTTATTAGCCAAGTTTTTAACCTATCAATAAACTATAATTATGTATAAAATCAAAGCTATATTATGAAGCTTCTAAGAAGCTTTTCTATAAAATATTAACAAATTTATTTATTTTAATTTACTTCTACCTATTCATATTATTTATATAATTATTAAAAAAAATATATATATATATATATATATATATGAAATCATCTTTTATGTTAATGATTTGATTATCTTAATCAATATTTTAAGGATAATAAATTGATTGAAGACAAAGTTAAAAGAAGAATGTGAGATAAGTGAATTAGAAGAGTTTTATTATTATTTAGAAATAAAATTTGTAAGAAATCATGCTATTAAATCAATTACAATGAGACAAAGTAAGTACATTAAAGAGGTATTCAAATGATTCAACATGGAAGAGTGTAAGTCCATTAGAACATCTTTGGAGGCAAATTTGAAGTTGATGAAGCTCATAGATGAGGAATTTTCTAAAATTGAAAGTCAAATGCAAGGTATTCCATACAAAGTAGCAATAAGATTACTTAGGTATGCAATGGTTGGTACAATAATGGATTTTGCATATACAATGAGTATTATAAGCTAATACACATCAAAGGCTAGACCAATCCATTAAAAAAACTATCAAAAGGATTTTGAGGTATTTAAAAGACACTTTGTACTTCAAATTGTGCCTTAGAAATGATAACATTACTTTGTATGGTTATTGTGATGCAGATTGGATTGGAGATATAAATGATAGAAGGTCAACAATGAGCTATGTATTCTTTGTAAGAGTGGAAGATATTTCATGGAATTGTAAGAAACATTAAACAATTGCAACATCTCCAATAGAAGCAAAGTACATAGCAGCAAGTCATGGTACAATGGAGGTAATATAGCTAAGACAATTTTTAGAGGACATTGAACTTGTACAATTAGAAGCTACTTCAATAAAGTGTGACAACCAAAGATGACTTGATTTTGTAAAGAATCCAAAGCATCATTCAAAGACCAAGTACATTAATATTCAACATCACTTCATAAAAAAATAAATAAAATGGGAGTGATTGATATAAAGTATTATCCAACAAAAGATATGTTTATTGATTTATTGACAAATACACTAATAAAGAATAGATATCATATATTAACAAAGGCATTAAGATTAAAATCTTTTGATCAATAACAAAGTTAGAGTATTAAAATAAATAAATAAAAATAAAAGTAACATAAATTATCTTATAGAGGATATTACCTTAAGTTGTTAATAATCAAAAGATTGATTCTTGGTATATAAAAAGGTCAAGAAATAAGATCAAGTATCAACTAAAAAATATTCAAAGACTAGATAAGAATACAAATTATATACCATAGAATATCCTTGAGATAGATGAATAGGTAAAGAATCTTAAAAATATAGAAAATTTATTAAAAGCACATTTTTATAATAAATAAGATATCAATAGATAGTTTTTGTATAATTTAAGATGGATGTATTTATTAAAGGATAGAAGTTGTTTATTAAGACAACAACCACCACCTATAAGTAATGGGTATTGGAAATGAGAGTTATTTGCAATAGTTTTCAACTCTAGTAGTTTTTTAAAAGGCTGATGATGCTTGCCAACTCCTTTTCCTCCAAAAAAAACAGTGGATTTAAAATTGGTTACATCCAAAAGTGAGTATAGCTCTAGAAGTATTTGAAGCTAAAAGTTAGAAGGAATTAGGAGTAGAGATTGGTGGATATGACTGCCTCAGCTTGGGATTCTTAATAGCTTATCTTTCTAAGTATGATGTGCAGACGATTGTCACTTCTAGATCTCGATTTCAAGAGAAAATTCAAGAATGCTTGATTTTGTGCAGCTATAGATCCTTGTGGTACAATCTAGTGGTCTCGTTTTGCCTCAGGACAAGTTCGACATACCTTCGAACTCTTCTTTTTCTCTTCCAATTAGCCTAACTTCATATGCCATTGGATAGATTACTGGAGCTACATAATGCTGATCAAATAACATGACGACCAATTGCTAAAGAATTGCACACATTTGTTGTTGCAAGACTGCATCATTGTTTCTGATGTCGCACGAGTGTAGCTTATCATGGATCGGGGCTATAATTGCTTTAATATGTGTAACTAGTACTTTTTCCAATCGATACGTTGGACATTACTGGCTTCTTGATGGAGAACAAGACATGGTTCACATTTTGGTGATTGGAACACAGAGGAAGTCAAACTTGGTTTAAGTACATGAATATTTTACTAGACAGATGCAGACTGTGCATTTCGGTGGGAAATGAGACGGAACTGTCAAAAAGATTTGCCGTCAAGATTCAAGCATAGCATCTTGTCGATCGGTCAAATTATCATTAAAACAAATTCCTCTTTGTTTTTCTTCCTTCTGATTTCTTTGGTTTTCCTTTCTTGATTGCCAGCACTACATATTTTAGTCAAGGTTATACACACTATGCACTACCCTCGGGGTTCCGTGCTTGTTCAAAGCTTGACACAATCCCTTGCACACTTCACATCAGATTTGAATTGCCCATTGCTCGCTCTGAGGTAATCGTATCTGGCTTCCTGGAGTTTGGCACCTGTCGTAGAATTGCATAATCCTGCTCCATTTAGATAATTGGTTTGAGGTGATATTCACCACAAGCATGATTCTTTGGCTCTCAGAAACTCAACTGTTATGTTTTTGTGTCTTTTGTGTGTGACAGTAGCACTGTGGAACGAGCAAAGTTGTGCTTGGGTGGGGATTCCCTCGCGGCCACCACCACCGCGAGAGCCTGTCACATTGCCGAGCACCATCTTCGCTGTGATTGCTGTGTTGTGACTGTTTCAGTATACCCGATATGTTGTGAGTGTGGAATTGAATTTTCTCCCTTAAGTAGGCGATCTCAGATCTGCTGTCGTAGACCATTTCTGTGCAGCTGCAACACTACAAATGAGGATCTTCTTGCATTCCCGCAGCCCATCCCCTTATTGGTGTGTTTCTTCGTTTACATGTGCTTCGTACACATTTGTTTATATTGTGCTATTCCACATAAAATAATTGAGCGTAATACAAATTATCTTTGGATGCTGGTTTCATAAAGACATTAAATGAATGTCTAGGGTCAAAAATTGCCACCTGTTTGCACACTGGGAGCTCTCCCAACTTAGTACTTGACCTTTCTTAGTACGACCCACAGCCATGCATTGATGCATTATTAACTCACTGCTGCAATTGTACATAATTGTTATGCCCAACTGTTTTCTTAAAATATGCTAATGTTGCAGTCATTCCAATTTTAACGTGTATTACTAAATGTACTTCGTCTTGCAGCAACTTGTGGTCTTTTTTGTTGACGTATGGGGGCAAGAGGGATTGTATGAGCGAAGACAAACTCAGTGCATTACAATTTTTAGGATGATATCTAGAAGGAACATTGTTCATGGTGACATTAGATATCTAGTGTAATGTACAGTATTCTTTTCTCATTTCTGCCAGCGTGATTGAGCAGATGGCTAATGAAAAAGCACTCATAAATTCGTCCGTCGATGAAGTAGCCTGGAGACGAATGGTCCATGACGCTTAAGTACACCTTATCTCTCTTTTTTTAATTTTTGTCCATTAACCAGATCTAACCAAGTGATAGTCTTGAGGAACCTTTAAAATGAAGACACATACACAAGAATCGAGATAGGTTATTCTCATCCATCTTTATCTCTTCATACATCAAAAGGTAGTCCACCAAATCAGTAATGCCAAATCAGATACGCCAGTGATGATTTTAAATTTGGTGTTGTCGCTGCAGAGAAGGATGTGGAATTCTGAAATATAGTTTGGCCACGAATTGTGGCTCGAATAGTGAGTCCGCCGTTGTGCATACCGTAGATTCGCTGGATATAGTTACATACAAAAATGAAATACTAGATTTTAAAAATTCTTACTGATAACGAAGAAGTACAAAAATAATTCTGAGAAGGATAATTGATGTTTGAAACGATCCTTAATGCTTGAAGCCAAATTTGCTTGCATGTGCACATCGAAGTTAACTGGTGAAAGACTACCTGTGCCACCTATTCAATAATGATGAGCTTGTCTCAAAAAAATTTATAGCAGAAATGCAGTCGACTGACCTAGAAGTCATAAGTTTGACAATGGATAACATATCATCTTACTCTATTGAACAATGTTGATCCTCTTGTCGGTAATGGGCAAAGGTGCTGGCTGCTGGGCAACATGAGGATGGTCAGAGCCGTTGTACACCTTAAGATGAGTGAATAGTCTTCTCCCAAGCTGAATTACAGCAAATAAAACACATCCGTTCAGTATTTCCACATAGAATCATTTCTACTAATAACAAAACAAATGAATTCAGAAGTTCCATTGCTCATTTATTGAAGATCCATATCCATTAACAAGTCAAATAGTAGTTTCCTTCTAGGATATGACACCTCGAGCGGTCAGTTACATGAACTGCTCATGACTGTTAAAGTTTGCAGCCAACAGGTATCACTTACCCGACCCTTGGGTAGCATTCCTCGCACAGCATGTTCGACGATGCGCTCTGGTATTCTTTTCTGCAAATTATCAAAAGTCTCTTCCTTCATTCCCCCAGGCCTGCCCGAATGCCTCCTGTAGAGCTTCTGGTCCCTCTTCTTCCCGGTTACCGCAACCTTACCCGCATTAATCTAGTGGCCAGGCCCCACATATCACATGTTAGCCCCACAGACCACATCCACCGGTTCAACGTATTGACATGCTTACAATTTCATAATCGGAATAACAAGGTCAAATGCATCCCAAGAATCCATAGCTCTGCGACAATGATAAGAGAGGATCATGTTACTTACGACGACAACGTAGGCGCCCATATCAGTGGAAGGAGTAAAAGAGGGCACATCCTTTCCACGAATATGAATAGCAATTGTGGACGCCAAGCGACCAAGGCGCTTGTCAGCCGCGTCCACTATATACCACTTTTTCTCCACATTCTTGTGGTCGTCTGCCTTGGGGTAATAGGTCGAATTCCAGACATCCTGCCATTTAAAAAACAAATATATCCTACAATGTGAGATCTTATATCATCACGAGGACTATGTATTACGAAAACAGGGCAAATCTCAACCTCCTACTCTAAAGAAAATTGAATGTGGGAAGAGTACCCTGAAGGTTGTCCTACACTTTAAGGGGAAACCTCCACAATCTCTTCCGTTTGTTCAATTCTTGCCCCCACGACAAGGCTCATCCACAATGAGCCTTTCTCTGAGATTCAGAGTTCAGGCGCATTGCAGCAATAGCGACTAGAAACAATCAGCATGATAATTGCGACGATAATTCAACATGCTAGTAACGATAGATAGGCTATAGCAGTAGACCGTATTAATCCCTCACACAATAACATGAGGTTGAGCAACAATTCAGTCCCAGATTTTCTATTGTGCTGGCACCATCACTAGACAAAGTGAAGGTATGGGCAAGCAGTATAAGTTGACCCTAATTCCCTCATTCACGGGGCAACTGAGCAGGAGCAGTGGCTCACAGCAGCGAACCATTGACAAGAAGACCTAAATCCGGGCATTCCTTACGGACGTAATACAGAAAACAAGTAGATTAACCCCAATGAGTTCTCATCAGTAATTACTAACGCAAGCTCGCAAAAAATTTGTGTTCAATTCTAAGGACGCGCATCTAGTTTTGCTTCCTGACCCCAGCTTCTGCAAGAAAGAAACAAAGGCGTACATTCTTTGGAGACTTCGCAAGAACACGAACCCAGCCAAAATTCAACAACGAACCACACTTCTAAAAGATTCCAAAACGCAGACACGATGAAGTGGTCAAGAATCGACTTACAGGGCCCATCTTCTCAATGCCTTCGTACATCCACCGGTGCTCGGCGGGAATGAAGCCACCCTTGGCATGCACTTGCAAGTTGCGAGGGCGAACAAGGGGCACGGTGACGCGCCTCCGGAGAGATAAGAGCGACGCGCTGTTCCCGGTGAAGGAGGACGAGAGCTTGACAGCAGAGGTGGGGGTGGTGGTTGAGGAGACCGACATGGAGGCGAATCGTGCTGCCATGGAGGTGGGTGCAGCGGCAGATGCCATAGCTGAAGCTCAGGAACTAGACCCACAGAGGCAATGCCAAGACCATGGAGCAACAGCAGCAGCGGCAGCTGTGGATTGTGTTGCAAGGAGGGGGAGGTGCTCGACAGCTCCCAGCACATGTATCATCGGAGGAGAGGATGGATAAGGCACCCCCGACATTACCATCCCAGGTGCTGTCTTCATAATCCCAAACATTTTGGGGATTTCGCTGAGGTGCTGACGCAGCAGCTTTTTATTTTTGTCCTGCCCGAGATGTTTTCTCTCGTCCTTTCAATCCCCGCTCTTTTGCTTTTCCTGCCCAGCGTTTTTACGTCTCATCCATTTCTTTCGGCTTGGTGTTATTGGATGTATTTCTTTTATTCTCCTTTCTTTCTTTCCCTCTCTTTTCCGCTTCTTGTTTTGTGCGAAAAGAAATGTGATCCACATGTATACTTTCATGTGTATATGCCAATTATTATTAATTTTGGTATAGAATATGAGCACAATTTAACTTGGCATACATGAATTAAATAATTTAAAAGAATTAAAATAAAAATGAATAGAAATGTACATGTTGCTACATTATAATTAAAAATTATTACATTCTAAATTAAAAATTATTAATTAAAAAATTATTACATTCTAAATTTAAATTTAAAATTATTATTTAAATTAAAAAATATTACATTCTAAATTCTAAATTAAATATATTTTATTCTAAAAATAAATACATGTGATAAATTTTAATTTAATTTATGATTATTTATTAATTAAATAAAATTGAATTTTTTTTTTTAAATGTAAAAAATCATGTATGAGACTATTTTAAAATAAGTATGATAATATAGAAACACTACTATGGATAGTTTAAACATAATTAAATAGTGAGGCTTTAATCCTTGACTACTTAAGCAAGTTGACCTTGAAATAATATCTATTTATTTAATTTTTTATTTTCTATTTTCTATTTTCTATCTTTAAACCTTCATAACTTATTTTAAATAACTTGGAGTTATATTTTCTATAAATTTATACCTAATAAAAATCTATTAAATAAATTGTAATAACTTATTAAGTATGTATTTATTTTATTTTATTTTATTTTATTATTTTTCTTCTTTTTTTAATTTCTTGTTGATTGTGCTTCTCACTTCACACCACCAATTATAAGCAACTTTAAATTGAGTCTATCTTGTAATTTTGTTTAAGAGTTGAATTTTACTCTCACAATAAATACACATAATAATACAATTTCAAAAAGTGAACTAAGATGAAGTGATTTATACACTAATTTTAAGATACTAAATATAATATAAAGTTGATAAAGTAAAAAAATAGATAATAATAAATAATAAATAATAAGTCCTAATAAAAAAAATCTAAAGAAGAAATATTGAGACAAAAATAATAATAAGATAGTAGATTTTAGCTAAGAAAGACAAAGAAAAAAACATATACTTACAAGTCACTGAGTGTAATTTATTGAAGATGCATAAGCTAACTAAATTTTTATAAAAAATAATTATTGGCAACTAAATAAGAATATGAATAGAATATTTTATAATCCTATTTTATTAAATATTTTATATTAAAATTATTATTTTTAAAAAATTAATAAAATTATTTTATAATTTCTTTCAAAAAAACACTCCACAAATTAGAAAAGTATAGATTAATAAAGTAAGTTCTTCCAATTAATAGATTAAATTGCTAAGATAAAATTTCTTATATATTTAATTATTAATCAAAGATTAAAAAGAAAAAAAACAAAACAAACAAACAAATTCTTGTACATAAAAAGATAAAATTATATCTAAAATTTTATACCACATCTCAAAATCTAAATTTTATTTCAAAATATCAATAGATCTTAAAATTGGTGTAATATTGCTTAGATAGTTGGCCATACAATTGAATTTCAATGGCCTATAATAATTAAAGATATTCATAATATACTTTTAACTTAAGAGTTTATAACAAATTTAATTTAGCTTTAATTTTTTTATATTATAAGGTATTAGAAATCTAAAAAATATATGTATAAAAAACCTAAAAGCTATAGGTGTTAGATTTACTTGACTTAAATATGTTAGATTTAGTAGCTTTTAACAATTTAAGCATCTACAACATAACTTTAGCTTTGGTATTTTATCACAAATCTAATGCACTTTTAAATATTTTATATATTATACCATTTAAAATTCCTAAGGATGAAATACACATAAATATTTCATAATATAGATTTTAAAGTCATATACCACTAGTCGTCATTTTTTGTTTTTATCTAAGGTTTATAAGTCTTCAATCTATTAGCCATTGACTTTACAACATTGTAGTTTTTTAGATAACAATTTTTTTCCAATCCTATGTAAAAAAGAGAATAGAGGAGTATAAAAAAAATCCTAAGATAAAAAAAAAGATGAAAAAAAAAATAATAGAGGATTTTCTAAAATTACTCAATTTAATTAAAATTTTATCTTATTAATACATTTTTATGAGATTTTTTATTCTTTCTATTAATTATTTTAATCAACTTCTGTTTAATATTTTATCTAATATTTTATATTAAAAATGATCTAAGTTGAATTTTTTTTCTTTTGTTGCATCTAATTTTTCTACTTATTTAGTTATCATTCTATAAATTAATCATTAATTATTTCTACGATCTTAAAATTCAAAGCCTTGTATTTTTTCTTCAAACCAACTTTATATTATTCTAAAAATCGTCTTTATTATATAAATTTAATATACTAAGTATATTATATATTTCTAGTTATTTCAGTTTCTACTTCACTACTATTAATTTCTCTCATTTATTATATTTTTTTCTTAAATAATTATATTTTTTATATTTATTTTTATATATAATTAGTTTTTTTACTTAATTTCTTACCTCAATTATTAGATGAATTTTATTCTAAGCTATATACAATTTGTGGGACTTATAAAAATCAACATTTAATAACAACTTTATTTGTAATATGATGACTTATAAGAAACTTATTAAATGTATTTTTTTAAATTCATAGCATGAAATTAAAGTAAAATAAGACCCTAAAATAAAAATAGTAATAAAAAATAAAAATAGAATTTTTAAAATAAAATTTTTACTAAATAAAATATAATAAAATATTTATTTAATTAAAAAACTTTTGTGCATATAAAATGCATGGCAAATTCAATCTTATATGTACATAGTGTGGATGTGAAAAAATTAAAGATGTTACAAAATAAATTGAACAAGAACTTTGGTGCATTCAATTTCTGATTTTGAATATATTTTTGCAACCATATTGTCACAAAATATTTGATTTTTGCAAGTAATTATATATCTAAATGTATTAATTTTTCTTACTTCTACAAAGTATTTCAATTGTAGAAAAAAACCTTATATCTACCCAAAATGAATCTTCTTCATAATAATTCTTCTATATTAGTTTCATTATAGTAATAAATTTCTATAAGAAGCTTTTTAATCCACATATTTTGTGTAGAAGTATCTATAGATTTATTTTTCAATCAATAAAAAAATAGATAATTTTTGAAGAAAATATTATTTATATGACATATTTCTTCTTATTTCTATTTAATTCTATTCATATAAATAAAACAAATGTCTATAGCATCTTAAATGTAAACATCTTAATATATCTATTTTTTAAAAAGGCATAAGTTTATCCAATCCAATTAGAAAGATGGATTAATTTAAGTACCTAAAGATATTAAATAACTAAAAGATAGAAGATTATCAAATTTATTTTTTAAAAAAATTAATTATCTATATTCACATGTATAAAGTATAGTCAAAGATGTAACACTATTTAATTTAATTGAAAATGTTTTCAAACTTTATAATTAAGACATACCAAATAAATAGAAGATTCTAAGGTCTTTAAATCCATTTTGTAATTATATTTAACTTTATCACAATAATATAACAAATATAGTCAAAGTTGTGAGATTGCATAATCTATTTGGCAATAAAATCAAATTAGATTATTAACAAAAATATAATATAGTCAAATATACAAGCTTACTTAATCTATTAGGAAAATATTTTAAACTTAAGTTATAGAATAAAACTAAAATAGTTAAAGATGTAAGGTTTTCTAATCTATTTAGAAATAATATCAAATTAAATACATGATAAATTTGATAAAGTGAAAGATATAAAGATTACCTATTTTATTTAGCAATGATGTTAAGCTATATCACTAAGATGTATAAAGTGTGTTCAAAGATATAGAACTAGTTTATAAGATAATAATGTCAATTTTGAATACTAGAATATATTAAATATAATTAAAGATATAAGATTATTTAATTCATTTAGCAATGATATTTGGTTAGAGCACTAATATGTTTTAAATATACTCAAAGATGTAAGGTTGCTTTGTTCTTTTGATAATGATGTCAAGCTAGAGAACAATATATATCAAGTGTAGTCAAATGTAAGGTTGCCTAGTTCATTTGGCAATGATGTCAAGCTAATACACTCATGTATATTCAATTGTTTTAAAGTAGTAATTTCTTTCTAATAATTTTGGTAATACTTTTAAATTTGAACATCTTAGAATATTGAGATTTATTAATGATAATTTAATTTATATTTTTTTATTAATATAAGCAAGTTTGTATATCCTTATATATCAAAGTCCAATAATATAGTATTTTTTAAAATAGGCTTAAGAATGTCTTTTGAAAAATCTTAATTTTTTAATTACAAGATTTTTAAATTTTTGCAATTTATCTAAAGTTTTCTTTTGTTTAGCATATTTTTTACTTTTTTGAATAATTTTATGTATAATTGTCTTAAATTTGATATATTTATTAAAAAATATTTTAATTTATAATATTATTTTATTATTATAATTAAAGTGCTAGATGATTCAATAAAATCACTAGATGTTTTTTCATCAAACTCATAGCTCAAAAATCAAATAGAGCAAAACAATTACTTTCAACTTTATTAAATATATTGTCATTTTAATTACTATAAATAATCCTTTCAAATATTTAATAACACCATTAAAAAAATATTATATTTTAAAAATATTATGTATATATAAAATCATCATTTTAATAAAATAAACTTTAAAATTTTATATTATTTAATTAATATTAAAAAATGGCATATTTAATATTT